ATGTCTTTTTCTTTGAGATGTGTCTCTTGGAGGCAGCGTATTGTTGGGTCTTTTTTTTTTTTTTTTAATCCAATCTGTTAATCTATGTCTTTTGATCAGTGAGTTTAGGCCATTAACATTCAGGGTTTTATTGATATATCATATGTATTCTCAGCCATTTTTGTTTATTTTGAGTATTTAGCATGACTTGGTTTCTCCTCTGATTAGATTTCCGTTTAGTGTAATTCCTCCTGATTTTCATCATTGTTTTTCATTTCCTCTTTGTGGAATATATTGCTGAGGATGTTCTGTAGTGCAGGCTTTCTAATTGTAAGTTCTTTTAACTTTTGTTATTATGGAAGGTATTTATTTCATCATCAAATCTAAAGCTTAGTTTTGCTGGATATAAGATTCTTGGTTGGCATCCATTTTCTTTCAGAGCTTGGTATTCATTGTTCCACGATCTCCTGGCTTTGAGGGTCTGGGTTGAAAAATCTGCTGAGATACAAATTGGTATCCTCCTATATGTGATCTGATTCCTCTCTCTTGTGGCTTTTAAGATTCTATCTTTATTCTGTTTGCTAGGCGTCTTCATTAAAATGTGCCTTAGTGTAGATTTGTTGTAATTTTGTACATTTGGTGTCCTATAAGCCTCTTATATTTGGTTTTCCAATTAATTCTTCATGCTTGGGAAATTTTGTGATATTATCTCAATGAAGAGATTGTGCATTCCTATGGTTTGAAACTCTATGCCTTCCTCTATCCCAATAACTCTTAGATTTGGTCTTTTGATGCTATCCCATAATTCTTGGATGTTCTGCTCATGGTTTTTAACTTTCTTCACTGTGTGATCAACTTTATTTTCCAGATTGTGTACTATGTCTTCATTATCTGATGTTATTTCTTTCAAGTGATCTAGCTGTTGGTTATGCTTTATATTGAGTTTTTTTATTTGATTTATTATATCCTTCATTTCAAGAATTTCTGACTGTTTTTTTTTTCAGGGTCTCTTATTAGTCTATTTTAACCTCAAGTACTGTAAAGTTATCTCATTCATACATTTATTTATACTCTTTGTTATTTTGCAGTGAGACATGAAAGTCCTTCATTGTAACATAGTCATTGACACTTTTAAAATATCTTTTTAAATCTTAACTTACTTTTTTTCATTTAAGTCAAATTTATTTTAACTAATATATATCAATGGAGTTATATGATGTTTTGATACAGGTCTATATTGTGTAATATTTAGATCATGTTAAACATTTTTATCTCCTCACATGTTTATCATTGCTGGTTTTTTGTGGGGAGGGTGTACTAGGGATTGAACTTAGGGGCATTCAACTACTGAGCCACATCCCAGCCCTATTTTGAATTTTAGAGATAGGGTCTTACTGACTTGCTTAGCACCTTGCCATTGCTGAAGCTGGCTTTGAACTTGTGATCCTCCTGTGTCAGCCTCATGACTGCTAGGATTTTGGCGGGTGCCACCATGCCTGGTCTATCATTGCTTCTTGAAGAAAACTCAAAATACTTTATTCTACCTTTCTGAAATATGCAATATATTGTTTTATTGTTTCTTTGGCACCATGGATTGAACCCTGGGATGCTTAACCACTGAGCTACATCCCCAGCCCTTTTTATATTTCATTTAAAGACAAGATTTTGATATGTGGCTTAGGTCCTCATTAAGTTGCTAAGGCTGGCTTTGAACTTGCAATTCTCCTTCATCCCTGTCCCAAGCCATTCCGATTACAGGAGTGTACCACTGTGCCTGGCTATTGTTGTTTTATTATATATTTATTTTTATAATGAATTGCCCATATTTGCCAGGGGTTTTTCCCCTCTTTCTTGTACTTACTCTAGAAAAAATTAAATTGCTATGTGTAAAAGTGCTACCATACAGATGAGCACTCAGGAGAATGTCTAAGCCAGAGCACGGGTTTTGTATGATATTCCTTTTTCAAGCATATTGAAAATTCTGACAAAAATGTTTTCTATGAAAAATGGCAACATGAACATGTGCCTTCCATAAACTGTCTCATAGTATATAAAACAGATCTGCTGTAATTACTATTTTCCTTTACATAAGTTCATCAAAAGTTTCTCATATTTTGACGTTGTCAAGAAATCTTTTAAAATCCACCACATTTTATATCTTAGGAGTAAATTTCTGAGTCAAAATTTCTGTGTCTACCCCTCTCTATTTCTCTTCCTATTTTTCCCTGGATAAGTAAGTCTAAAAGCAGTTCTTTTCTTTCATTGGTAAATATGATTTATCTGCTTTTAGAATTTAAAAAAAAAGAAAGAAATGTTGAAAAACCTGTGGTGCATTTTCTGCTTCAGTAAATAGGTCATACTTTGTCAAATTCTGAATATATTATGCTATTGTGAAGTTCTGTTTTTCTCAAATGCTAGGTTGCTGTACTGGATATCAAAGGGTAATTTATTTTGGTATAAGTAGGCCATTACTGCTTTTCTTTTTTTTTAACTGAAGTCATGAATACTTCAGAAAAGATAACTGAGAGATAAATTAGGATGTTTAAGGAAGGAGAATATTGGTTTTCATTTATATTTGTGTAATTGCACACTGCCCTCCGAGTATGGAGACAATTATTGTGACCTGAGATCTACAAGATATCGGCTTTGTTAATTTTCTTTGGCAGTGATAAATTTGAGGTGATTTATCCTTGAGAAAAATGTTCAAATGTCCCTGTCAGGAAAGTAGAGATCAAGGAGATCAAAAGTGACAATCTCCATAGAACTGAACCTAAAGCATAGGCATTAGCAGAGCTACATTTATCAAAAGAAGAAAATATAAATACTCAAGAATATGCTATTTACAGCCAACTCCCTATACGTTTTTAATTTTATCTGAACTTTGACTTTGTGAATTTGAAATTATTTTTCAAAATTGCTTATGTTATGGCTTTATTGTTAGGATAAACTAATGCCATTCTGTTAATCCTCTCAACTAAAATGAGAAATAATGATTTGTGCACATTCTAATGCAAGAAGTATTTTTATTCTAATAAAGTGCCTAGCACAATGCCTGGGAGGCAATTTAACCATTGTTTTCTTTCTTCTTTGCCTCGACCAGGATAGTGCTACATGTCACTTTCCTCTAAAGATTATTTGGTATTAAAATAGTACTTAGGTATATTAAAACTTATTTTAATATACAAATTTATATTGGCTATGCTCAGATTTGAGGCCTGTTCTTTCTCACAGTCATTCCTATCTTCTTTTAGAACTTGAATAATGCTGATTAAAACAGCAGGTAAATGAAGAAATACCTGGGCATGTAGTTCAACTCTAATATCTTCATCTGAGAATCAGCTTTTACCTTCTTCTATTTCTATGTCACTTTCACAACTATATTTCCACCTCAAGAGAGTTTCATACATAGTCTGAACCAGAAATCTTGTTGGGTGCTCTTGCTGATTGATTTAGGGCCTTCTTTTCTACTCTCGTTTCATTCAAAAGACCATTCTGAGGAAAAACCATTTGAGACAAACTTTGAATCAAGATTCACATTGTGACATACTGAGCTTTCCCCAAGATCACCCTCCTAGATTCAGATCCCCATTGCCATAGGCTTCAGTTATTGAACAAAACAAACTACTAATTTACCACTCCTTTCTCCTAATTGCATGGCTGACAGAAAGTCTAAAAAGAATATCTGCTGTATTGTAGCTCCTAGCTTAAAAATTTAAACCATCTCCCCATGAAACTAGAATTTCCATTTGATCTTTCAAACCTAGTACTAACTTACCTTTGAATACCTGTCATAATTCAACACATAGCCATTTATACATTCAAACTTAAAATCATATATATATGTGTGTGTGTGTGTGTATATATATATATATATATATACATATATATGATATTTAGACTTCTATACTACTTTTTTGAAAATGTTTTCTGATCCTTCTTCCTTGCTCTTCCAATTTTCCAAGAATTTTCTCATAGTACTTCCAGCAAACACAGTAGAGAATGTAACATACTGTATTATTATTTTTGCTTATTTGTCCATGACTCCCATTAGAATGTAAGTTTTTTTGAGACAGAATCTAGACCTATTTGTCCTTGTCACTCTAATACTTAACATTGTTTTGGCATATAGGAAATGTTCATAAAATGATTATTGAATGAATGGCATTTCCTCAATTAAGTAGGTATTTTTTTCACCTTTCTTTCCTTTTTTTAAAAAAATTGTTTTGTTTGGTACTAGGGATTGGACTCAGGTGTGCTTTATCATTGAGCCACTTTGCTAGTTCTTTGTGTTATTTTATTTCAAGACAGGGTCTCACTAATTTGCCCAGGCTGTCCTTGAATCTGTAGTCCTCTTGCCTCAGCCTCCTGAGTCACCAGGATTAAAGGAACATGCCACCACACCTGGCTTAAGTAAGATATGTCTGATGCTAACAATGATATATCTCTTGTAGGTGATATGCTGCTTTTCCTTTAGCTCCTTATGATTTTTCTTCCCTCTTCCAAAACATGGATCAAAATTAAACTTCCTTGGAAATTGTCAAATGTTCATAATTGAAAGGGAGAGATGTAACTTTAGAATCCCAACCTGAGTTTTAAAACCATTTGTTTCCAAAGCAAGCCTTTCTCGCCCTAATGAATCTCAAAAGCCACAGAATCAAGAGAGAAATGGGAATTGTATTCAGAATCCTCACATGAGGGTTAAGCACTCAACTCAGCCCTAGAAATGTGTACCAAACTCTTACAATTCCATCTTTTGGGAATTTGCATGCCCATATTTGAGCTTAAGCTTGTCCCTCTTGGCGACAGGATAAAATCTATTCCCTGCTCACCACTCTTGCCTCTGTTGCCTGGGCACTTAGCATCTTAAGAGATAGAAACCTCACTCCATTGGCAGCTACCCTGTGGTTTCCTCAGTCCAGGCATCAGGACATCCACACTGTTATACTAACATAGCCTTCATTTTATGTGAGAAATTTTCCAAGAAGCCATTCTCAATCTATGTACATCTCATTTGGTTTCAGATGCTTTCCTCCAAAAAGCAATCCTGCTCACCACGGAAGACACTGGAACCATGGAAGGCATTGGAGTGGGGTCTTCACCAAAAACGTCAATCATTCACCTGTTTTTAATTTCACCTGCAAAAAGTGTTCAATGGCTCAAACAGAAGTCAACTTTGATTCACCTGTGGTCTTCAGTGAAAACCTATCATAAACCTGTAAATTTTTAAAATAAATAGTATTTAAAATATGTATATGTCTACCTTTCTATTATTCTGATTTCTTACAAATTCAATATAATAACTAATATAAGAGGCAGGAGTAAGGAAATAAAAATCATTACATTTACAGTCACTGTGTCCTTTTATAGACTATTGTATCAGTATATAGTTTTGCAATCCCTTTGAGTGTATAGGAGTTAATTTAAAATTTTTCAACTGAGCATTTTAAAATATGTATTGACTCACAAACCTGTAAATGATTGAAAATACTATTTGAGAGAAACCACTAACTCAGGTGTAGGAATATAGAACAACTGCAAGATTATATTTGACAAAGCGAGATCTGTAAAAATGTATTTCCATTGACAGTAAGTAAAAATAATGTGGTCTCTCAGAAGGAAATTTGAAATTTATCAGATAAAGCTTTTCAGAGAAGTAAATTTTCGCTATTCACTTCATTTTCAAACACATTTATCTCTATTCACAGTTTACATGCTCTGCACTTTAAAATTCAGCTTTATAACATTATACTCTTTCAGTATTATTATTGATTGGTCAGGTCCAGAACATATAAACATCTTTAAAACAAATGTAGATGTAAAGCCCCAGAACTATTTGCCCAAAAGACTTAAGTAATTTCCCTGCAGCTATCTCCAGGACTGGATCATTAGAAAAGATTTTTTTTTCTTTTATAAAGGACATTTTTGCCCAAGGTATGTGTCTATTAAGTAATTATTGAATTGTATGTCCCTCTTTGTCAGTGAGACCAGTGTCCTATTTTTCTTCTTTGCCACAAAATGATAAACTTAATGCCAATAGACAGTCTTCAATTACTTATGAACATATTAGTATATGTCAAAGTAATGATTTACAATGCTTCCAGGCAGTGTCATATTTCTCAAATAATATTTGGGACACAACTCCTTCCCTGTTTGGAAATAGTGAAGGCCACCTCATTATCCTGAAATGTGTGTTTTTTCTTGTTTCTATGGTGGAAATAATTGTCTTTGGAAACATAAATGGGAAAAGTTTGGATTAGGAAAATTAAGTGAAAAAATCACACATGACTTATTGAAGAATAGTATATTAATATCGGTATTAAAAATTTGTTATCATTGTGGCAATAAACAGGATAATGGTTAAAATTTTAAAGACATTTAACTTATCTGATTGATTAGAACCCCTTCAGAATTAGTAGTTACAGTGTTTTTATCATCTTCATTGTTTTTAGAGCTCTTGCTAATTAGATAGAATAAAAGAAAACCTACATCAAAACTGAAATGTTTATGCACCTTTTACATATGTTAGTCCTTGAGATCCTAAAAATTTTATTTGCCTGTTTTCAAAAGTCCATGGTGGAGTTCTCAAAAGGACCTAGAAGAATAAAAAGTAAATTAAAATTCAAGGTGGTTTAGACTCTAGGAGTTAAATGAGAATGTATGCATCACATATAATATGCATACATATGTGCTACAAAAACTCAGGTGAGAGAATTTTTAAGAAAATGGGAAGTCCAAAATGACTCACAGAAAATCTGGAGTACAGGCAAACAAAGCAGAAAACAGAATTTTAAAAATGCACAATTTGTTCTGTGGAATAGAGATGAATTCTTATTGTTTGTTAGTAATAATGCTGCAGCTGATGATGAGTAAAGTAATTGCTTCAGAGCAAAATATATATGTAAGTAAGACAACACAGGGTTGAAGAGTTGTGCGGGGCCAACTTGTGGGAGTTCCTCAGAGATATGAAATTTGGATATCAGGAAGATGTTTATTTAATAAATAAATGAGTATCTACTACTTCAGAGATATTATTGTGGACTATAAACAGACATCTTTGAAAGATATATTTGAGTATTCAGGGAGGGTAAGAGATTAATTTGACTCAGAAATACAGAATAGATTCAATGAAGAGAAACCAGTTGAAACAGTATTCAAACAGTACAAGCAAAATGGTTACAAACATAATCATGGACATCAACTAAGGGATTTGCCTGAGAGGTTTATATAGAAAGAAGAAATTGGAAGTTCAGCAGATAAGATGGTTGGTTTTAGGAAAGAATGATTATGCTTTAGAGTGTAAAGAGTATGCAATGCAATTCCTGACACTAAAAAGTCAAACTTTAGCTTAGGTCAAATTTAGGTTAAGGGTACACCCTTCAATTTTAGAATTCAATAGAACAACTTCAAGAATTCAGAAAAGCACTACATTTATATTTCAGTTTTGTTATAAAAGATAAAAATAAGGACCAGCTAAATAAAGAAAGACACAGAGTGAGAGCTAGAAGATTCCACACATGAAGTTTCTACATCTTGAGAATGGATCATCCTCCTGGCACATCTGCATATCACCAACCAAAAGCCTGTTGTGAACATCATTATACAGAGTTTTTTTATGAGTTTTATTTATACAAAGTTTTCATTATATAGGCATGATTGGTTGAATCATCTGTCACAAAATATAATTCAATCTCCAGCCCCTTTCTCAGGCTGGTACCATGTGGCTTAAAACCTCAACCCTCTAATCACCAGAATGATCCTTCTGACTTGGCCAATCCCCATCCTGACTCATCTCATTAACATAAACAATTTGAGGTTTTTCATGAGTTATCTCATTAGCATAAACTCTAGTGTGGGCCACTGCGACTACCATAAATAACAAAAATACTACTATCGTGAGAAATCCAAGGATTTAGAGCTCCTTCCCAAGAGGACAAAGAATAGCCATGTTCTTTATTATAAAACAGAATGAATGGAAGTAACTCTAGGTAGTCAGTTGGAACTTCAAAGAAGCTGAAGAAAGGAAAATGAGGACTAGATGCACAGATTTTACCACAAAGTGAAAGGTCAGATAATGTAGTTTAGCATTCATGTCTACCCAGCTGGGACTGCAGTTACAAGCATAGTACTTGAAGAGAGAGTGTGCGTGGAAAAGACCACCCAAACACACAGTACATTTTTCTAAAGAAATCAACTCAGCATGATACAAACATTATATTGAATAGAAACAACTCTTTTTGCATTTTCTTTCTTAACCAGATGTCTAAAATATATATCCTTTTCAAGCATATAAAACAACCCCTAAAGAAATTGTGATCTAAAAAAAAAAATATGTAAATCCAAAGTTAACATAGCAATGACTTAAATACTTCATTTTTGGGGGGCAAATGCAAAGTGATGAACATTAATTAATACTCCTTGTATTTTCTTTATCACTACCCATATAAACTTAGCTGTAATTACTCGGTATGACAATTCATTATCATAGATTACTACAGCTATCAGATAAGAAACAGTAAATGTCCCACCAACCCACCATTTCTACCTGCAATAATACCAACAATTATTTGCCTTTAAAGAGGATTTTACCCACATTAAAAACAGTTCTCCCTCCCCTTCTCTTTTTCCTTCCTTTTTTTTCTCTCTTTCTCCCTCCTGCCCCCAGGGATTGACCCCAGGGGTGTCTGGGGTGCATAGGCACTGAGCCATGCTCCCAGCCATTTTTTAATGTTTTCTTTTGAGCCAGGGACTTGCTAAGTCCTTATTGCCTTGATAAGCTCCTGAGGTTGGCCTTGAATTTGCAATCCTCCTGCCTCAGCCTCCAGAATCTATGGAATTATAGGAGTGCACTATCTCACTGGCTTACTTTTTTTCTTTTAAGCAGAAAAGGGATATATTATGAAATCTAAAACATTATATTTGAACTTGGTTTCTCTTTACTTCTATAACAAATGGTGTAAATATTGCAAATAGTATAAATAAATCTTCTCTTATTTCAGATGAATAAATATAATTATTTAATAAGAGATAATTATTTCCTTTTGTTTACACAATCAGACCTGCATGCATATAAAAATATTTATGATTCCATGGTTAAGAAGTATGAGAAAGTAACTTAAGATATGAACAATTTCTGTTAACACGTTAGAATGCTTAGTTTGGGTCGATGATGGGAGCTTCCATAGACATTATCTAAGGTGTCATTTTGAATCTTAGGAGAAGCAGATCCAAAGTAGAATTAGATATGCAAATGATTTACTGGAAAAGAAAGCCTGAAGAGGATTATGAAGGAGAGAAGGAGCAGGAAAAGCCTTTAGCTTCTGATGTAAGTCTGGCATCTCTGAAAGGTGTGAAGGAAGAAAGGAAGGCTGAGTAGGGAGAGATATACAGCCCTGAAGTGAGTTTTGACCATCACCAGAGTGCTGTGTCAGGTAGGAACCACCCAGCTTTAGTAGCTCTGATGTGTTCAATTACGAGCTAGAGATAGCCCAGGAAGAACATGGGATTTACGTGAACACTGTGGTGGATCTCAAACATACAGCAAATGGAGACTATTTGCCAACTATTTTTGCAGGAGATTCTCTTGCAGGGATATATGAGTGGTGCACTTCCATGACCACCACACATCACTCTTTATGTATCTCATTGAGTCTCTCCACACATTTCAAGAAGCAGTCCCTCATTCTTGTGGATCTCTTGTCCAGAAAAAAAAAATTTTTTTTAAATAGGAAAGTTGGGAGAATAAATTACAACCTTGTAACTGGCTTACCCAATGATGTGACCCCAGTGCCCATTCTTGATAGATCTGAACCCTAGGTGATCATAAGAAACGAAGAGGATTACTGCAGAAGTCACCATTAAAACTGAAAAACAGATTACCACAAGATATCCAACTGGATCGTGTGAATTCCACACATATTCTTCTTGGTATCTGTTGCTAGAAGGTTGAGCATTGAGAGGTGGCAGTGGCTGAATCAGGCTTGGTTAAGTGACAATACATGCCATAGAGCTAATGTGCAGCCCCCATCTCTTCCATTGTGACCCATCTGTTCATATATCCTTCATGCCAGTTGTGGAGAGATCAATGACAAAAACGGTCTAAAGCCATTGGTTAAATCATTTTGTCTACTTGATCATTCAGTACCTCTGCAACAGTGGATGATTTCTTGTTAGCACAAACATCTGCTGATTTGTATCTTCTTCCCCATATTTCTACTCCATACCTCCCTGACATTGGTACTCTAATCATTTT